TGGTCCTTAGAGGGTGTTTTGAAAGACAATTCCTTATAGAAAAAAAGAGTGAGCAAGTGAAGAAGGTGGGGGAGGGGGAGATGTTGGTGCAGATGTTCTGGACACGTGTAAAGAGCCATGGTGGCAGGAGAGACTATAGCTCCTTCCCAGAACTGGAGATCTTAATTCCGATGTCTGCATGCGCAGTTGCAGAAAATGGTGCCATAGGCAGGGCTCCAACTCTGGAGGCTAAGGATTTGGGATTGCAGGCCATAGAGAGCTACTGTGAGTCTTTTTTAAAGCTGAGAGAGATATAATTACACTCTTGGATTTGCAGTAGCTGGGACAGAAAAGGTGGAGAAATTGTGAAGAACGCATTAGAAGAGGGTGCAATTTAGAGCCTGGAGATCAGCTAGAAACATCTTGTAAGAATCTGGATAAGAGATGAGAGAACAGAGTCAGTAGAAATGTAAAAGTTGGAATTAGTTGGATTCCACGACCAGATGTAGGAGTGATGGATGATTTCCAGGTTTCTAGCTGCAGAAATTTCAATACCTGGGATAGGGATTTAAAGAGGTCCAGACCTGGGATGTGGGGAGAACAGCAGTACTATTATAGCTGAAGTCCCTATGGGATAGCCATTCAGATAGAAACTGAATAGATGAGTCTGGAATGCAGGAAAGGGGTCTGAGCAGAAGATGCAGATTTGGAGAAAAACAAACAAACAAAAACAGTTGCCATCTGGTCAACTCTGGCTCATGGTGACACCATATGTGTCACAGCAGAATTATGCTCCACAGGGTTTTCAATGACTGAGTTTTCAGAAGTAGATTGCCAGGCCTTTCTTCCAAGGTGCCTCTGGATGGACTTCAACCTCAAACCTTTTAGTTAGCAGCCTAAGGTGTTAACTATTTGCACCACCCAGGGAGAGATTTGGGAAAAGGCAGTAATAAACATTTAGCATAAATTCTTATATATCTTAGTGATAGCAATACTCTCCCAAAACAAAGAGCATAATTTAAAATACAAATTGAATAAGCTCTTACTAAACATAATTTTTAAAATATTCAATAGATGAATGAATGAATAAGAGCTATATAATGTAGCAAGGGAGTCTTTAAGTGGTGCAAATGGTTAAATGCTTTGCTACTAACTGAAAGGTTGGTAGTTCAAATCCACCCCAGGTAGCTTGGAAGAGAGGCCTGGCACAGCCATTGAAAACCCTGTGGAGCACAGTTCTACTCTGACACACGTGGAGTTGCCATGAGTTGGAGTCAAGTCCACGGCAACTGGTATGGTTTGGTTTTGGATATGGTAACAAAGAGTTGCTATCCAATTATTAAAGTTTGTGTGGGGGAATGTGTGTGTGTGTGAATGTGTTTGTGTAGTTATGCATACACAAATACTCATACACTTATATAAAGGTTTATAATGTATTAGTACAGTACCTAGGGAGAGATAATTAGACATCAAGACTGTGACTTTTCCTCTGACAAAGGAAAGAATCTACTAAAATAAAAGAGATACTGTTCTGTGTCATTAAAAGATAACCAATTTAAAAGAAGAGAATTCTTTGTTAAAAGTCAGACCTAGAGTTTCCTCATTTACAAGTCTAATTCTTTTCTACTTTACGTGATTATATGGAATACAATGATATTCCTACAGATAGTTTTTTTTTTCCCCCTCTTCATTTGGAGAAGGTTATAAACCATCTGCAAATAAACATTAACATAATAACTGCATGGGTTTAATCAATTATTATTCCTAGTGACCAAAGAACAGACAAGCTGTGGGATGACATAAAGGACATCTTACATGAAGAAAGCAAAACATCACTAAAAAGAGAGGAAAGAAAGAAAAGATGAAAAATGGATGTCCGAAGAGACTCTGAAACTTGCTCTTGAATGTAGAACAGCAAAAGCAAACAGAAGAAATGATGAACTAAAAGGGCCGAACAGAAGATTTCAAAGGGTGGCTCAAGAAGAGAAAGTGAAGTATTATAACGAAATGTGCAAAAACTTGGAGTTAGAAAACCAAAAAAGAAGAACACACTCAGCATTTTTGAAGCTGAAAGAACTGAAGGAAAAAAATTCAAGCCTTGAGTTGCAATATTGAAGGATTCTATGGGGAAAATATTGAACAACATAGGAAGCATCAAAAGAAGATGGAAGGAATACACAGAGTCACTGTACCAAAAAGAACTGGTGGATGTGCGACCATTTCAGGAGGTAGCATATGATCAAGAACTGATGGTACTGAAGGAAGAAGTCCAAGCTGCACTGAAGGCATTGGTGAAAAACAAGGCTCCAGGAATTGACGGAATACCAACTGAGATGTTTCAACAAATGGATGCAATGCTGGAAGCACTCACTAGTCTGTGCCAAGAAATTTGGAAGACAGCTACGTAGCCAAATGACTGGAAGAGATCTATATTTGTGCCCATTCCAAAGAAGGGTGATTCAACATAAAGTGGAAATTATCAAATAATATCATTAATTTCACAAACAAGTAAAATTTTAATGAAGATAACTCAAAAACCTTTGCAGCAGTACATCTACAGGGAACTGCCAGAAATTCAAGCTGGATTCAGAAAAGGATGTCGAATGAGGGATATCATTGCTGATGTCAGATGGATCTTAGCTAAAAGCAGAGAATACCAGAAAGATGTTTACCTGTGTTTTATTGACTATGCAAAGGCATTCCACTGTGTGGATCATAACAAATTATGGATAACACTGCAAAGAACGGAAATTCCAAAACACTTAACTGTGCTCACGCGGTACAGACCAAAATAGGCAGTCATTGGGACAGAACAAGGGGATATTGCGTGGTTTAAAATCAAGAAAGTTGTGCATCAGGATTGCATCTTTTCACCATACTTATTCAATCTGTATGCTGAGTAAATAATCCAACAAGCTGGACCATCTGAAAAAGAACATGGCATCAGGATTGGAGGAAGACTCATTAACAACCTTCGATATGCAGACCACACATCCTTACTTGTTGAAAGTGAAGAGGACTTGAAACACTTACTGATGAAGATCAAAGACTACAGCCTTCAGTATGGATTACAACTCAATGTGAAGAAAACACAAATCCTCACAACTGAACGAATAAACAACATCATGACAAATGGAGAAAACACTAAAGTTGTCAAGAATTTCATTTTACTTGTATCCACCATTGACACACACAGAAGCAGCAGTCAAGAAATCAGAGGACATATTGCATTGGGCAAATCTGTTGCAAAAGACCTCTTTAAAGTGTTAAAAAGCAAAGATGTCATTTTGAGGACTAAGATGTGCCTTATCCAAGCCACCGTATTTTCAATTGCCTCATATGCATGCGAAAGCTGGACAATAGATAACGAAGACTAAAAAAGAATAGGGTCCCTGGCACAGTGGTTAAGCGTTTGGCTGCTAACCAAAACATCAGCAGTTTGAATCCACCAGCCGCTTTTTGGAAACCCTATGTGGCAGTTCTACTCTGTCCTATAGGGTCCCTAGAGTCAGAATCCAGTCGATGGCAACGAGTTTGGTTTTTTGTTTTTGAAGAAGAAGAATTGATGTTTTTGAATTACTATGTTGTCAAAGAATGCTGAATATACCATGGACTGCCAGAAGAACAAACAAATCTGTCTTGGAAGAAGTACAGCCAGAAAGCTCCTTAGAAGGGAGGATGGCGAAACTTCGTCTTATGTACTTTGGACATGTTATCTGGAGGGACAGTCCCTGGAGAAGAACATCATGCTTGGTAAAGTAGAGGGTCAGCAAAAAAGAGAAAGACCCTCAACGAGATGGATTGACTCAGTGGCTGCAACAATGGGCTCAAGTATAGCAACGATTGTGAGGATGGCGGAGGACCGGGCAGTATTTCCTTCTGTTGTATATAGACAGGGCCGCTGTGAGTTGGAACTAACTCTATGGCACCTAACAACAACAACAACATCGCTGTATGGAAACCAGGCTGAAAAAAACCAGAAGGTTGTGTCCCACAAGAATGTCATACCATGACGATGTAAACTTAAAGTGGAGGTTGCTTGTAGAAAAATGTATTGCATTCTTGGCGTATGCACAGTTGGAATGTTAACCTTCAGTTATCGTTACAGTATATTCAATATAGGAGCTAATCTCCGTTTATTGATTTGTTTTTTGAGCCTGCTCTGTTTTACCTCTTTGCACATTTTGGTCTTCGTTTGACCTTGGCCTCTGAGTTGGTGGTCCCAGTAAAAAAAAAAAAAAAAAAAAAAGCTACTTGGAGTCAGAAAGCCTCACTGTAGCCGCCAGGTGACAGAGGCAGGGTGGGAACAGTCAGGGAGGTTGAGGGCGCGGAGCCTCTCACATACCATTCCCCTCCCACAGAGATCCCACTATTAGGAGGCGGAGAAGGTTGCAAACTTCGCTCCAATCCGCAGCCTGCCCTCCCCGGGGTCCCCCTACTGGGCGACACGCCCGCCGCGGACCGAGTTGGAGGAACTTTGCAAAGCTCCGCGTCAGAGTCCGGGAAGGCGAAGAGCTTGCCCTCCCCCAGCACCCCCTCCTGCTGTCCCCCCTCCCGGCCCTCTCCCAGCCGGGAGCGCTGGTGATAGGACGAGCCGCGTGCGCGCATTGTGTGTATGCAAACCAGAGCCCGGCGCCGCTGTCTGCCGGTCTCAGGCCGGGGCTGCGGCTGAGGCTGGCGCTGCCGTGGGCGACGCTGCCCTCGCTGGAGCCGGGCACTGCCATGTCCCCGCCGCGCGGCGGGCGGCTGCGTCCCTCAGCCGCTATATAAGCGCGGGCAAGGAGGCACCCGGAGGGGCTGAAGATGAAGGTGCCCGCGCATGGGCCCCCGCTGATTGCCAACCCCTCCCAAGCCCGCGCCCCGCGCGGAGACCGAGGCCGCCGAGGACCCGCCTTCGCCGCAGTAGCAGCTGGAGCAGCGACAGAGGCGGCAGCTGCGGCGGCGGCGGCGGCGGCGCCCCTCGCGCGAGCGCGTAGAGCGGCGGCGGCGGCAGCTTGGGGGCCGCCGCTGCCCCGGCTGCCATGAGTTGTGCGGAGGTGATGTATCACCCCCAGACGTATGGAGCGCCCCAGTACCTGCCCAACCCTGTGGCAGCTGCAACCTGCCCCACAGCCTGCTATCATCCGGTGCCCCAACCTGGCCAGCAGGTGAGTCACCGACCGGGCAGCCTGCCGGGGGCGGAAGCAAGGGGCACTGGGAGTATCAGTCTGGAGCTCCGACGAAGTCCCGCCGGGGCGGGTGGTGCGGAGGATGCTCTGATGCCTGCGGGAGCGCCCTTGAGCGGAAGGCCACCAGACAGTGGAGGAGAGACTTCGGCAAGGGAAGAGCAGACCAGTCAGACTGGACGGGTGGGGATTAGATGTGAGGTATTACCTGGCTGGGGACTACATTGACCTGTTGTCACCAGAACTCAGAGGTTGGTCCTCATAGCCACCTAGCTTTAGGGCTCAGTTCTCTGAAGGTCACCAAGGGCATCTGTCTTGGGAGTATGTGAGTAAACTTCCTTTAAACTAATTTTTCCCCCCTTTGGAAAGGTAAGAGTATTTCAGAGTTTTCTTGAGTAAGGGGATGAAGTGTGCCATAGGATAGGGGAAGCCACCTGGAAAGTGATCTTATGGAATGATCTTTCTAGGACTTTTATGGCGGAACAAGGATCTACTGTAAGATCTCTCAGATGTTACCAGAACTCTCTAGAGTCTGTCTTCTTCCTACTGCTGTGACTTAGAGAGCTGTAACTGATCTCACAGTTCCTCATTCATCTTCTAATCCCATCAACAGCACAGAGCTTGTTAGATTATGTGTTCAGTCTGTTCAAAGTGTGCTCGCTGGCCAAGAGAGGACGTTGAAATCTCTTCAAGCTGGCTCTTCACCATGCCAGAAGTGACTGAGAATGCTGGGCGTAAAAGGGGGTCAAAAGGAGGGAGATAATATAGTTTAGATAAAAAAGTTATTTTAGAAGGGAAGGTAGAGTTTTGGGGGAATTTGGCACTGGGTGCCCTGGACATTCCTATCCAGAAGGAAAGTGTGTCCAGGTTTAGATAGCTCTACATAAAACACGTATGTGCATATGTGGCAAGGGCCTGTTCCAAAATAGGGTGCTCAGACGCTGCCAGTCAGGGTGGATTGATTTGGAGTTAACAACTACAATTTATACACTCTGATGTGGAGACTGCTTTACGGGAACTGGATAAGATTAGGAAATTACCACCCACAGAAATTATTGATTTACTTTTCTTAGTTCCTTAAGAACAGTAAGTTTTATTGTGACCTTATGGATTTGACCATATAATTTATTTGACATTTTAATTCCTATAGGGGGTCCTGGTGGAGCAGTGGTTAAGTGCGTGGCTGCTAATCAAAAGGGTTAGCGGTTCGAACCCACCAGTGGCTCCATGGGAGAAAGATGTCGCAGTTTTCTTCCATAAAGATTTACAGCACTGGGAACCCTATGGGACAGTCCTACTCTGTCTTATAGAGTCGCTATGAGTCAGAATTGACTCTGTGGCAGTGGGTTTGATTTTTGGCTTTTAATTCCTACATTTCTTCTATCTCTGTCTCTTTGTTAGATTTATAGCCCTACTCTTTGAGAAGGAATCACAACTTCTGTTTAGAATTTAGGGACTGGGAAACTCAGCGGGTTCTGGAAGGGGATGTGCCACAGATTCAACTCCTAAACAGTGCGAGAATGACCAGGACCAGTTAGGGAGAAAGAAGAAGGAACCGCTCTTTCTTGCTATCACTTTTTCTTTTTTAAATCTTTAGGAACTTCCGCTTTTCAAAGCAAAATAACATTTAGGGAGAGGAATGGGAAAGCGTTTTTTAATTTGTGGTCAGAGTGACAGATTAACACATTTTAATTATGCTGTCTGTTTTTCTTTGGCTTTAAGTATAAAAGATCTCGTAAGTAATGGCAAAAACCACTTAGGTACAATACAGGGAAGTGAGGCAAAGTGACCCTGCATATGAGTTCTGTGTGTTTTATAAACACTTGGTCTAAGATAAGCCACTCTTGCCTCCTTTCCTTTGCCTCAGAGACTGTGCAAATGCAACAGATATTGCCATCAAGGGGATTCCCACTTATAGTGACCCTATAGGACAGAGTAGAACTGCCCCGTAGGGTTTCCAAGGCTGTAAATCTTTACGGAAGCAGACTGCCACATCTTTCTCCCACGGAGCAGCTGGTGGGTTTGAACTGCTGATCTTTCAGTTAGCAGCTGAGTGCTTAACCACAGCACCAGCAGTGCTCCTTCAGAGACTGTGAAGGCCTTCAATTATCAACTGGAATGTGGACAAGCAACAGAGTCAAACTTTACTAAACATTCAGAAAGGTACTTTTTCCCCTAAAAAATAACTTGAACTAGTAAAAGGAGTTGTGAAAAAGGTTTTGTTTTTTAGAGCTGTGCAACTCCATTAAAATATGAACCTGTGCGGAGGTAGTATTGTAATACTTTTTTGAACTGGAAAATAAAATTCAGAAAATTCAGAAAAAAATATAAATTAACTACCACTAAATTCAGTTTTCAATAAGAAATAACCCCAATCCTTTATCTAAGTTTTGCGGTAGCCCTGAAACTCAGCCCCTAAATTCCATTCTTTTGTTAAAACCATCAACAAAGTGAAGAGTGAACTTTTTTTTTTTAAACTGAATTGTCCACATTGATACTGGTAACTTATGATCAACTCTTTGAGCTTTTGTAGTTATGACTTAAGTGTTGTTCAGCTGAGTTGACCATAAGAATGTAGTTGAGAAGTATGTTTGGAAATTTTCATGTTGCTTATACTAAAACGGCTTGTCTAAGATTAGTTTTTTTTTGGTTAAGTAAAGAAACTATTTGACCATATCTGGCCAGCAAAATGACAAGAGACTTGCCAGTGTACTACTGCTCTTTTACTGTCAGGAGTTTTTCGTGATGACCTATATTTTCAATTGAAAAAAGAGTAAATCAGGAAATTCTTATCAGGCTGACAGCATTTTTAGAGTAATGCGATGCGTGGGTGAAGTGAGACTAATATTCACTTGGCCGTAATGCAGTCATCCGAGAATACATATTTTGGTTGTTTTTGCATTCCATAAGTTTTTATCATTATGATCCATAAAGATTGTTTTCTCCGTACATGGGAAGTGACCCCTAATAACATCTTGCCTGGGAGACAAAAATAAGAGCTGCAACTCCTACTGCATTTGAAAATTTATTTGTTTAGGAGGGGGAAGAAAAAAGAAAGAAACAGAAAAAGTGATAGAGTTTTCAAGACAGTGTAATGGACATTTATAAAATGCTACAAAAGAGAACATAAAAGTTTTGGATAACTTCTGTATTCTGTTTTAGCAATTTCTCTTGGAACTGTTTTTTTTTTTTTCCTAAACTGTATAGCTCCGAAGTACTTTTAAATTAGTACTTCATATGGTTTATTATGATGGATTTTCAACATAGGTATGTTTTTTCCTCTTCATAGGGTCATATAACTTCCAAAATTCTTTCTGAAATAATAGAACTCCACCGTCCAGGCATGTAAACTCTCAGCTTTTCCCCTACAAGCACAAATGTACATTTGACATTTTCAGTTTGGTTTTCTATTGAAGCTATTGTAAGATGGGTGATAGGTGAGTGTCGTAAAAGCGCACTTAGCTGCATATATATCAGGTTGTCCTGGGGATGTGTCTCTTAGGCATACAGGGGGCTACATGAGTCAAAGGCTCTGTGAATGTTTCTGAAGAGTAAGTTTTCTAGTCTCTGAGGTTAATTACTAGAAATCACATGGCTGTGCATCAGTCTTACAGTATGAGATTGCAGGCATTTTTAGGGGGTGCTGAGTTCCTTGTTCCTCCTGTCCACCATCTCTTCATAGCTTTAATATTCCAGTCTGCAGCATCTCCTTTAGGAGAACTCTTGACTAAGTCCCCCAGGACATGCTCTGAAGGCACGATGACACTGCAGAATGTGTGCAGAAAGAAATGCACTTATATTCTAACAGTGACAGTAGGAACCAACAGAATATTTTGAAATAAGTGTCAGGAAAAAATGGGGAGAAATCATATGAACTCAGAGATTCTCTTTCTGTCCAGTGGATTCTAATTTTAAATATAGACAGTCTGTTGTGGAAATCCCCTCCATATTCATAATGATAGTGTTAGGAAGATGCTGAAAAGCTTTCTGATTGGTGTAGTTTATGAATTAGGTAGTGAAAGCAGAGAACAATCATCACTTTTCCAATTATGCATAGGTGATTTTAACAGTCACACCCTGGGCTTCATATAAGTTAAAACATATTTACTCTGCTCACTTCAAGGGGGACAGCTGGTTGAATCTGCTTGAGGGTTTTCACTTCAAGTAATTAAATCCTGTTGGAAAGCAGTATTCCAGTTATAAGTTTGTAAGGAGCTTTCTCTAACTCTTTCTCTGGCCTCTCCCACCTTGGTTAAGCCATAAAACTGCTCAGAGATTCTGTTTTTCAGGACAAAGCCCTGGAAGAACACAGTTCGACCTTTCCTTTTACATATGGGAAAATGGATGTTCATAGGGCTTAAAGGCCTGCTAAAGATTTCAAAGCAAATTGGTGGCCATTTTAGGGGAGGTCTCCAGATCCCCAATGTAGCATCTTTCCACAATGCCAAGCAGTCTCCCAAGCTTTTTCTTTGCTATTGCACAATGGATTTTTTTTTTTTAAATTTTTTTACTTTAGTGCCCCAAATCAATTTCTTTGATAAAGAAGATTAATATGCAGTAGATTCTTTGGCCTTGGAGCTTGAAATTCTTTCCAAGTCCTTGGTAGTGTACTTTTTAAGTTTAGGCATTCCAAAGGCTTTTTGCGAGCATCTGTATTATGCTAATAACTTTTGCTATCCATGTTGCATCCTTTGGTGATGAGGCAGAATATCCACTAAGCAAATGAACATTTATTTATTTTGAAATAAAATATAGGAAATGATATTAACAGTCAGTTTTAAGTGCCTCATTTATCATTACTACTCCAACCTAAGTTTAGATTCATTAAAAGGAAAGAAAACAATTTTACCCTAAATAGTTTGAATACACAGTTAAATTATTTAAGACAGAGGATTTAATAGTCTTGCAACTGTAAGCAAAGACTTAAGTGGATTTACAAGAATTCATACAGGACTTCTTTGAGAAATAACGGCCCTTGTAAT